GAATAACTCTTTGGACAAGGGTTTTGTCAGAATATCAGCAAGCTAATCAGCAGCAGAGATAGAATTGACCGAAACAAACCTACGCCGAACATGATCTCGAACAAAGTGAAAATCAACCTCAACATTTCTTGTACGAGCATGGAACACAGGATTGACAGCAAGGAAAACTGCACTACTGTTGTCACACCAAATAGAGGGAGGGCGATTTAAAGAAACGCCTAACTCGAACAACAGATGACACACCCAATGCAGTTCAACACAGACATTAGCAACCGCACGAAACTCAGCCTCTGTAGACAAGCGAGCCACAGTGGGCTGCTTCCTAGACGCCCAGGCAATGAGATTATGTCCCAAATAAATGAGAAAATCAGTAGTAGAACGACGATCATCCGGACAACCAGCCCAGTCAGCATCACTAAACGCAGTAAGAGTACCCAAATCTGTAGGATGCAAAACTAAACAGTAATCAACGGTACCACGAAGATAGCGAAGAACCCGTTTGAGAGCCTGAAAATGAGAAGTGCGAGGCTGATGCATGAACTGACAAAGCTTATTAACCGCAAAGGAGATATCTGGACGAGTGAGAGTGGTATACCGCAGATCGCCACACAGCCGACGATAAGTAGTCGCATCATCAGGAGACAACAGAGTACCATCCAAACGGGACAACACAACATTAGCCTGCAAAGGAGTGGAAACAGGTTTGCAAGTATGCATATGTGCAAGTCGTAGTAAATCAGTGACATACTTGCGCTGAGAGAGAAGCAAACCCTTGGAAGTACGACGAACCTCAACCCCAAGAAAGTAACTCAATGGACCTAAATCCCGAAGAGAAAACTCCTTAGCAAGACAAGAGATAAAATGCTGGACCAAACCAGAAGTGCTGCCTGTAAGAATAATATCATCCACATAGACCAGCAAAAAACACAACTGAGACCCACGGCGATAGACAAAAAGAGACGGATCACAACGAGATTCCACAAAACCCAAGGTAAGTAGAAATGCTGCCAGCCGAGAATACCAGGCCCGAGGAGCTTGCTTAAGACCATATAAGGACTTATGCAGTTTACACACATAATGAGGGCGCACCGGACCAACAAACCCCTGTGGCTGAACCATATACACGGTCTCACTTAGAACACCATTAAGAAAGGCATTACTGACATCAAGCTGAGAAATCGACCATCCACGAGCCAGGGCAACAGTCAAAACTGAACGAATGGTGACCGGCTTAACAACCGGACTAAATGTGTCAGTGTAATCAACCCCAAAAGACTGAGTAAAACCTCGAGCCACCAACCGAGCCTTATACCGCTCAATGGAGCCATCAGCATGAGTTTTAATCTTATAGAGCCATCGATTGCCGACAACATTGCCGGAGGAAGGAGGGGGAACTAAAGTCCATGTGTTATTTTTGAGGAGGGCAGAAATTTCATCCTTCATGGCATTCTGCCACTGAGGAAGAGATTTGGCTTGGGTGAAGGATGTAGGAGTAGTAGACAAGGCTGGATAAACAGAGGTAAGATGAGCCGAGGGATCAAAGATTTTCTTGGGCTTGGGTTGTGGACGAAGTGTCATTGAGTGCTGACGGGAAGAAGGAGGAGGAGGTGGCAGCGGAGGACTGCAATCAGATGAGGAAGAGCTGGATGCAGGAGATCTAGCTAAAGGTGAAGAGTCGGGAGGGATAGGAGGAGACGAAAGAACTGGTATACTAGAAGGAGACGAAGACGACGCAGAAAACGACGCAAGCATACCAGGAGAAATGGTTACACGCAACCAAGGGGTAGCAGGAAACTCCAGCAGCGAAGAAGGAGAACTAGAAATAGGAAGTTTAAAGGGAAAGAGTTTCTCATCAAACTCAACGTGACGAGCAACATAAAGACGGTTATTCACCACATCAAAACAGCGATAACCAAGATGAGATGGAGAATACCCAAGAAAGACACACTGAGTAGAACGAAAGGAAAATTTATGTTTATTATAAGGGCGAAAAAGAGGATAGACAGCGCAACCGAAGACACGAAGAAAGGTATAATCAGGTGGCTGATGATATAGTGTAGTAAAGGGTAGGTGACCTTGAAGAGGTTTACTAGGGTGGCGATTAATCAAAAACACAGCAGTTTCAAAAGCAAAATCCCAAAACCGAAAAGGGGTACTGGAATGGCCAAGGAGAGCAAGTCCAATGTCGACAATGTGACGAATTTTGCGTTCAGCAGTGCCATTCTGCTCATGAGTGTGTGGACACGCTAAACGATGAACAATACCGACATCCTTAAAGAAAGAATTGAGAGAACGAAATTCACCACCCCAATCAGAGTTAACACTTTTAATGGTAGTGCCAAATTAGTTTTCTACGAGAGCTTTGAATTGCTTGAAAACATGGAGAACATCACTTTTATACTTAATGGGATAAATCCATGTGAATAAGGAGAAGTCATCAATAAAAAGCACAAAGTAGCGATAACCATTGAATGACAAAATAGGAGCAGGACCCCAAACATCAGTGTGAATTAAATCAAGAGATTTAGAGCTACGATGAAAAGTAGAAGGTAAACTGACCCTATGTAACTTCCCTAAACAACACGCCTCACATTTATCAGTGGACGTGGACACAGAGGAATAAGGAAGTGAAACTGCCTAACCAAAGTACGAAGAGTGACATTATTAGGATGCCCTAAACGAGCATGCCACTGACCTAAAGAGACAAGATAAGCTGCTGGAGACAAGGAACCACGAGCAGGAAGATCTAAGCGATAGAGACCATTATCAGCCCGACCGCGGAGGAGGAGTTCCTTGGTTGAAAGATCCTTAACACAACAAGAGTCAGAATAAAATTCAAAAAAACAGCGATTATCACGGGTAAACTTTTGAACAGATAACAAAGGCTTAGTAAGAGAAGGAGCATGCAAGACACGATTTAAATAAAGAGGACGAGAAAACGATGGCAAAACAGATAGACCAACATGCTGAATAGGTAAAGCATCTCCATTACCAACTAAAATATGATCCGTACCAGTATAATCATTGGAGATACTGAGAGAGGACAAATCTGGCGTTACATGATCGGTAGCACCAGTGTCCGGATGCCAGGGAGTGACAGAAGGGGCATACTGTGCCATATGGGCTTGAGGAGACATAGTCGACTCTGGGTAAGACGGAAGAGGCAACAAACCAGCTGAAGGCGGTGCAGGAGAACCTGCCTGGGCATAAGCAGCCGACCGAACGGCAGGAGGTCAAGGAACAAAATTAGTATCAAAACGGCGTCGACAAGTGGCGGCCGTGTGATTCAAGATGCCGCAAAGCTGACACGTCTCACCCGGAGCGGGAGGAGTGTACCCACGCCGACCACCACCACGACCAGAACCCTGATTGCGCCGGCCGCCGTGTTGCGAACGACCAGCACGAGAGGATTGAGGCGGCGTAGGAGAAGGTGGCGACTGCACAAGCATGGCCGTGGGCTGAAGGACCGGCTGTTGGGCGTGAAGAAGTACCTCATACGAAACTAACTGTCCTAGGAGATCTTGATAGGAGGGGGATTCAGAGCGCTGTTGCAGAGCTCCGATGATGCCATTAAATTCGGCACCAAGCTTGCGGAAGATTATGGCATTAAACTCCGCAGGAGATATGGGATGGCCGGCAAGCTGCAGTGTATCGGCGATGCCCTTCGCTTTGGAGAGGAGAGCCGTGACCGACAAGTCACCTTTTTGCAAGCTGTGGAGCTCCATAACAAACTGGGTCTGTTGAGCATAAGAAAGAGTGCCGAAATCCTGCTGAAGAGCTGTCTATGCAGCCGCCGACGTTGTGTAGCCCTGGAGAACGGGAAAGATCTCTTCAGCAACGGAAGAAAGAATCCAAGAGAGGACCAACTGATCCTTTTGCTGCCAGATATCAAACTCAGGATTGAGTTGGGGCACGACACCACTAACGGAAGGAAGAAAACGTGGCGGTGCAGGTTCGGTGCCGTCGACAATACCGGCAACACGAAACATAGTCAATAAAGGAGTAAACTGAAGACGCCAAGACGAATAGTTGGCTCGAGATTGTAGCTTCACAGTAAAGGAATGATTAAGAGACTATAGACTAGGTTGAAGAAGTGATACGGGTGTCTGTGCAGGAGGTGCCGCCGGCCAGAGGTGGGTAGCCTGGTCGGTGGATGACAGGTCGGTGAGAGTCATCGTCGAAAGAAAGCACGCAAAACCGAATAAGGCTCAATTTGTTTTTTTTTTTTTTTGGGTTTTTTTATTTATTTTTTTTAAATGGCCGAGAATCAAAGTTCAGCTGGTGGCGGCGGCAACCGAGAACACCGACGAATCGCACACCGATAAAGAAGAAGCACGCCGGCAAAGTACCACGTCCGGCAAAGAAGTGGCACGCCGACGAATGGAAAACGCGCACCGACGACGAAGAAGAACGGCAGCAGCAACGAAGACTGGCGGCAAGAAAACAGCGACAGGAAACCAGCAACAGCAGCAGGATTGTTAACAACGAAGACCGGCGGCAGGAACACAGCAGCAGACCGGTAACGAGGGAAAATAGCAGCAGACCGGCAACGACGAAAGCAGCAGCAGACCGGCAACGACGAAAGCAGCAGCAGCAGCACCAACAGACCGCAAGGAAAGGAAGAACGCCGACGAAGACGACCGGCGGCAGCAGCAGTACGAATTGGAAGAGGAGAGGAAGAAGCACACGCCGGCGATGCTGAGCTTGGTCGACGGCGAAGAGAAGAAGAAAGAAGCCGACTCTGGCGGATGGGTTGTGCACGGCCGAAGAAGAATGATTTGGCGGGGGAGAGAAAAGAGAGAGGAGAGAAGAAAAAAAAAAATGGTTTTGTTAAACCTAGCTCGATACCAACTTAGAATAGGGAAATTGTATTAGATGCATGATCTGTTGTACACAATATACAGACTATATATAGACAATAAGAAACCCTAAACTAGAATATAATAGGAAATATACTAAATATTACAATACTGAGGAAGAAGTTCATATTGACAAGGCTCATGGGAACCAAGTTCATGAGCAGTTCACTTTCACATGTAACTAAATTATACATTCACGTTATTTCAAGATTTCTTTCTTCTGTTCAAGCTTGTAAGAATTTGATTGTAATTTACATTTTAGGATGATGCTGCTGGAACAATGCGGAGGAAGCAGAAGCTCATATTGACTGGGCCCAAGGAGCCTGAGCTTGAAACAGACTTGAGTTTTCGTTCATTAAGAGTAAAGAGTTCCACGGAGTTAAATGGAGAAACGATGGCTAGAATTCTCAAAATTAAGGCTCAGCCCCTGAACAAAAAGGTATATTAATATGTTATAGTGCTGCTAGAGGAAGAATGTTTTGTTCTCAGTTGCCTATCATGTTCATACCATGGTGCCATCTTCTCATGGATTACAGATTCTGGAGGTCCCAACTTTGCCTGCATTGCCAAGAAAAGCCACACCACTTACTACTGACTTTAAGGTAAATGTATCCATTAAAAAGGAAAAAAGAGAGAGGCAACAAAAGGATATTTCTGGTTGATGACTAAGATAAGAACTGCGGTTGATTTTGTTGTTGGAGGAATTCCATCTTGACACAATGGCAAGGGCCAATCAGAATGCCGAAGCATCTCTCGTATCCTATTCAGAATCTTCCCAGGTATTATTAGTACTACCCAATGTTTTGGGTTCATGCTTTTCAGCTATTTAGCAGTCCTGAAAGGTGAAAGCTAAAAAAATATTGCTTTTTATGCAGACAAAGCAGAGTCCACTGTGTAAGGCTCACCCCACTGCACGAGAATCATCTGTTCTTCAAACATCACCGAGGCCTCGATTGCCAAGTGCTAGAAATCCGGATAAACCGGAGAAAGAAGAACTTCAATTGACTCCCAAGTTCAAGGCAAGGCCTTTGAACAAGAAGGCACCCTTTTCCACGCTTACTTCTTTACTAATTTTAGTATCTCTCTGCTTTGTGTCCATTTATCTCAGCAAGCTTTTGAATTCAACAGATATTTGAGAGTAAAGGTACTCTGGGGTTGTTCTGGAATAGGAAAAGAAGATCACTATACCTCAGGAATTCCATTTTGCCATAGATGAAAGAATTCCGCCATCAATCTTTCTTGCTGAAATGTTTGATGAGGTAGTTATGTCTGCCATTTCTGCATTTGCTTTACATTCAATCCCACATATTCTCTGTTTCCATATTCAATCACTGGTTATTTGTCTTCTTTCAGCTGTCAGTTAAACCGAAATCCCAGCAGGACAAGCCTATTCCTAGAAACACTACTCAACCTTTCCAGTTGCGTACAGAGGTCCATGCTGGACAATGATAAATGCATTTTGAACTCATCCATGTACTAATGATTATTTCATAACTTTTCATTTACAGGAAAGAGGAGCAGAAAAAGGGAAGAAATGGGTTAGTGAAGTTTTACATCAACAGGAACAGCAACACTCCAGGATTCCAAAAGCCAACCCATATCCTTACAGCACAGAGTATCATGTTGTTAGTTCCTGCCTTCTAGTAGTTCGTCTTTTATCTGTACTTAAGTTTATGTATTCATGATTTTACTGGACTACTGTTGATCTTTGAGCTTTAAAACTGCTTTTCACCCTCTAGCAGATCCCACCAAAACCAGAGCCTAAACCATGCACAAAACCCAAACCTTTTTATTTGGAGAGTCTGGTGAGGCATGAAGAGGAAGTCCGGAGAAGATTGCAAGAAAGGTGGCAGATGGTGATGAAGGATGCCCAGATGAAAAGTTTCAAGGCTCAGCCTATAATGAAAGAGTTAGATTCGCTCTTCTACTGAATATGAATATGTTGTTTCCTTTCTCTATTCGAACCATTACCAGATGAATTTATGGGAAATTCCTTTTGCCATAATATCAGGGATCCGATTCCCCTTCCTGAGAAAGCATCAGCACCTCTTACAATAGTTAAGGAATTCAGTTTACACGTGCAGCATCGTGCATCTGGTAGAGCTAAATTTGATAAAAAGGTAGCTCTTCTTTTCATGAACTAGAACCTCCCTTTCGCGATCAATTGCGTTGCAACTGTTGTATTGACTTTAAACTGGTGTCATAGATCGAGCAGAAAGAATTGATGTATAAGAGGCGCCGAGAAAAAGTGGAGTCAGACAAACAGGTAGGACATACAAAGCTGGCATGGCTTCTCTGCAGTTTCTGAAATCAAATCTGTGATATAACCCTTTTTTTCTGTTCTTTGAATTTACAGAGGGAAGAGGAGAGAAATTTGAAAGAACGAAGAAGGACATTGATTCCCCATGCTAGACAAGTTCCTAACTTTGCCCACCCATTCTTGCCTCATAAGTATGAAGATTGTGATTCAAAAGTCTTCCTACTTTTTTTGGCTTCTCTGTTTTTGGCTTGTTCTATCATTCAAGATACTGAAGTTCTAAAAACAAAAAAAGGGAGATGGTGATGTTCTAAACACATATGTCAGGTCTTCGAAGCAAGTAACAAAACCAAAGTCTCCAAGATTGAATGTGCTGAAGGTGAAAGAAAAGAGGAAGATTATGGCCAGCCCTGTTGAGACGTTGACTTTCATCTCCGCTACTTTGACGAGGTAGCCACAAATCCCATTTTTCACATCAATATTTTTTCTAAAAAAAATATAAGATGGTTCACTTTTTGTCAATTTGAAATCCTGACTCATTTTGCAAAATGTATTATCTTTTGCACAATTTTAGCTTCTTCATTAACATTTGTTAATGCTGCAGTGAAATTGGTGAAAACTCTCCTACAGTAACAGCTGGTGGGGTGATAAGCTGTGAGAATGCTGCTCTTGGGAGAAAAGAAACTTCAAACGAAGAGAAAGATTATGTTCCGAAAGCTGCCTATGCTACACCAGCATGTTGAATAACCAGTATGATTCACGACAAGGTTAACTTTTTATCGTCTCAGGTAGGTGGTGGTCTAATCTTTCCACTGCTGTAGTTCCATACAAGTGGAAAACCATTATGATTCCTTTTAGAAACTCGATAAAAATATCCTGTTGAGAACTTGGGGTGGTTGCTCGTTAAAAAATATGTTGGTGCAGTCTTTTGTCAATGTATTTCCTCTTTTTGATGGGAGATCTTCTATTTCACATTCTGGAATGCAAATGTTCTCGGATGCAAAACTTTTTTCCTCCTTTTAGAATTTCTGAAGTGGCCAGAAAGAATACAGAATCTGCTCTTTTGTTGAAAACGATTGCATTTCGTATATATTATGTTTTTGGGGAACTTTATGGAGGAAAGCCGCGCATTTTCTTACTTTACGCCAATAAACCTCATAATGTTTTGAAGGCTAAGGAAGCAAGACTGCAGAGGAACTTATAAATAGTTTGTTATCTGATTCTTAAGGTCTAATTTTATCATTAATTTTAGTGACCAGTGTGTTTTCTGCAACGGCAGTGTAGAGATAGTGATAATGGCGCACGGGGCATTTATTTATGTAGAACCTTTGCAATAAAGTCTGATTTATTTTGCGATCTAATTAGCAAAACTGTTGTCTATTTGATGCATAATGCATACCATTGAACTTGAGTTAAAGAAAAAGAATATCTTGCCCTCTTGACACATTTACGACATATTTTAAGCACATTTCTGTTGACAAAAAGAAGAATTACCTGGTGTATTTATGTTTAGAGTACTACTTGTTTCAACTACTCCTGAACCCCTTTCTATTCTGAAAATGAATACCGCTACTTTGATGAGGTGAAATATGGAACAATTTGGTTACTGAGCTTGGGCTATTACTGAAGTTCATTACATCTAGATCTTTGTTAGTGACATCTTTCATGTAGGAGTTGTGTAAATTGAATATTGTAAGACATGCAAAACCGGTAAAAACCATTGATGTTATACTTCACCATTAGAAAGTTTGAGAGAATTATCTTCACTTCTTCATTCATGGTCTGCAATAATGGTTTGGAATGATGATGCCTGATGCCTGATCAGCATGACCTGATATATCTCTTTGTCATTGTTAAACGTTGTGAGATGTATTAATTTACTCCTGTTTCCCCACACTTATCTGGAGCCCCTAACTTCCCATTTTACATTTTTTTTTTTTTTTGAGGAAACGTTCACATTGATAAAGGTTGTCTGATGTCTGAAGTAGCTTATATGAGTCAACAAGAAATTGAAGTATATATACAAGTTTGAGATGGTTAGAATGAAAAGCATTTGGACAGACTGATTTCATTTTATTTGCTTCTGCTTTCCTCCAGTAAACCCTTACCATAAGATGGTGTCTAAAAGAATGCACTTGCCGCCTCTCTATTAAATACAATGTTATTGTCTTTGTACCAAATGGACTGTTCTTATGGAACGAAAGACGTACACGTTTCTATAATGAAATTTGACATGTGTTTTGAATTCTTATCCATGTACTCCCTCCGTCCCATAATTATTGTTCAGTTTGAGATTTCACTTTTAGTATAATTTGAACTATAAATAAATGAAAACACAAGCTGAACAATAATTATGGGACGGAGGGAATACTAATTTTTACTTATCACTTTTCATTGAAGTTTTGCAGAAGCGACAGGAAGAGGAAGGCTCCAGAATTCCAAAAGCTAGCCAAACCATATCTTTATACCACCGATTGTCGTGTACAAGTTTTGTATCTGAAAAAATGTTAAGTTGCAAAGGAATACCATTGATCTACATTCCATATAGGTGTTTTATCAGGTCTACAATTTTAGGGTAATAGGCAATTACCAATTTTATATTACGAAAGAAAAGATATACCGCACCGGCATTTGGCCTCTCAAGCTTTCTGGCAGCCATTTGTTGTTTGCATATACTCCCCCTGTCCCTAACTCCCAAAAATAATTGTCTTCTTTGAATTTTCATTTTTACTAAAATTTTAACTAAAAATTAAAATTCCAACTGTGTAATTATCTCTAGGTGGAGGGATAATATATTTGCATATCACATAATCACATTGATGACATCCCTCTACAATAAAAGTAATGGCTACAAACTTATTTTGCAAAAAGTGAATGCTTCAGGAACTTATTCATGTAATGAAATTGTGTTTCTAGTCCATTCGTAAGTTTTTTCAGTATTTCAAATCACTTGAAATAGTAATAAAAAAATAGTTTAAAATTTTAATATGATCGGTCACGGAACTACTACTCTAGATTTCTTTATGATAAAGAGATTAATTTTTATTTTTATTTTTTTGGAATAAATGCTATTCAAAAATCCACAAGTTACATTAAACAACTTTTTCTGGAATTGAACTATATATGTAGTTACAGAGGTTGACTGAGTATATATAGTCTGAACGGTTTAGAAGAAGGATTTTGTCAACTGACATGGAAGTTTAGCTCATGGCAGTTGCGACATGCTTCGACGATGGGTATATTTTTCGTGAAATAACTTTACTTCAAATTATTCCTTAACTACAAATTGTATGGTGGGTTTGTAAATAGAGTGAAAACGTACCTCTTACTATATTAGAAACAAAAATCACACTTAGAAGAAAGCATCACTATTTGCCATGTGGTATTTCCACGTCATATTTTTAAAATAAATTTTTATTTCCACATCTCCTAAATTTAAAAAGCAAATGCAGTCTAAATTCACTTCCACCTCCTATTTTCATCAAAACAAACAAAAAAAAAAAAACACACGGGTTCATAAAAAACCCAAAGCCTCATCCCCATCTCCGCGACAATCGACTCCTTAATCAATCCCTTCTCCACAATTAAAAAAAAAAAAAACAAATTCCTCATCAATCATCAATTGAGAATATGTGGTGAAATATATTACTTTCCTATTAGCATGTTCAATCTTTTCATTAGTGATAATCGACTACATCTTAATCGGATAAAATTTCAACTTCAAAAAATATTCTCTTTACCTCTCTATATAAACACAAAGGAAAAAAAAAATTCTCATTGATCTTGCTTCGGCCGTTGTGGTGGTGCCATTACAGGTATTAAAATTTAAATGATTTTATTTTTACAGATCATTGGTTTGGTTTTTATTACTTTTTATTTTTCCTGTTCAAGAATAGTATTATTACTATTATTTTTATGCGTCCATCCGTTACAGCTACCGTAGCCGTTATCAGGTAGTATGATGTGATTTCTTATTTGGTTAGTTAGCCTAGAATTTTTGTATGATTTTAGTTATGTTTAGATTGAATTGATTGATTGAGTTTTTGTTATAAAGTGTGATTTTTTAAATTTGTTTTTTTATGTTTCATTCAATTAGAGTGGTTTTCTTTTTTTAATTATGGAGTCTCAGGTTTTTTTTTTTATATGGCCAATTATGAAGTGTGTTTTTTCTTTGTTTAATTGCTTTTGATTTTGTTTCATACTCCCAGTTGACCAATTATTACTATTATTATTATTATTATTATTATTATTATTATTATTATTATTTTATTTGCAAATGAAGCATTTTGTTTTTTGTATTCGGGGTTTGAAGAATATACTTTTTTGGATTTGGTTTTTGGACTTTTTTTAGTTCCTCATCATATAAATAGTTTACGTCACTTCTTTTAACTAATTTATGGGGAATCCTTTTATGAATTTGAGGTGAAGAGGGAAGGAATGATGTTTCTACATTTATTTGTGTTTTTATACATCATTTTTATCTACAGAAAAAAATAAAAAATCTCAAATTTTTTGCTATATCTTGAAACCTATGCAAATTTACATTATTTTCCTTCTCATATTTGTGATCAACCAGTTTCAACAATTAACCAGTTTCAAAATCATATTTTTGATATTTTACTACCTATAAACTTTTGGAAGAAATAGTTCTAACAATTAAGCGTATACCCTTTGGAGGAAGCTAACTACAAAGCTATTATAAATCTCCAAAACTAAGTATTGATTTGGCACAACCAATGGAGAACATCAATAAATTATCTTACTAATATTTAAACTTATTAGGATGCTTTTATATTTTGTCTAGCATTTACTTCAACACATATATTTGATCAAGTTTATTTATATTTAAGAAGTAACACTTATAAAATGTTTCTAAAATCTTCAAACATTTTTAAAACGTAATGGGCTAAATACAATTTATTTTTTCCCCAAATACAAACATCACACTTATAAAACATTTCTAAAATTCTTCAAATATACATTTCTAAAATTCTTCAAATATTTAAAATATATCAACCCATATACAAAATATTTTTTTTTCAGATACAAACATTTCTAAGATCTACAGATATATTGGGCCAGGGTCGCGCATTGCGCGACCAGACATCACTAGTATTTGTACAAAAGAAACAAATTTTATGTATTTCTTTTTCTTCTAGAGGTACGATACAAAACAATTTATTTTACAAGTTATGTCATTCTTCGGCTAAAAATAATTAAAATAATTCCTAGAATATAAAAAAATTTATTTGACTAGGGTTTTTCATTTCCCTTTCTCCCTCTCACTCCATCGTCTCTCTATAGTTGGAGATACTTAAACATGGCGTCTCCACACATTCCTCCTGAATTGCATCAGGGTATCTTAACATGGCTTCCGGTGAAATCCCTAATGCGATTCAAATGCGTCTCCAAAACTTGGCTTTCCGTCATCACCAACGACCCGTCCTTCACAGAATCCTATCGTGGTGGTTCAAGAGGGTTTCTACTCTCCGACCCCAATTATCTCCTCGACGCTGACAATGTCTCTTTCTATTTCCTTTCCCTCGACGACCATGGCGGCGGCTCAGTTTCCGGATCACTCCGTCACAACTCCGCCGTGGATCACCGTCTCAAACACAGTACCCGTGACCTACCTCGACGCCCCGAGTCGGCGAAAGCAAGGAATATGACGAACGTTGTGAATGGTTTGGTGTGTTTTTACAACGGGAGGCACACGTGGCTGCACAACATCGCCACCAGGGAAAGCCTTAAACTTCGTAACGCCGCATACGAAGATCCCCGGAGACTGGTTTCCCGAACCTACCATCTTTGTTTTGATCCCACTGTTAAACTGTACAAGTTGCTCACCATAACTGAATAATGCCGCCGCCGGCCTTTTCGATCTTGGGATCACGATGTTTTGGAGTGTGAGATTCTGAGTATCGGGGAGGGTTCGGCCTGGAGAAATGTTGATGATCCAGGCCAACTTGGTAAAAGACAATATGGAGCAATCCGAGGTAATCGGGCCAGGTGGTCAGAAGAAGATGGGCTTCTTTACTGGCCGATGAGCCTGGATCCCAACGTTTATCGGCCGTTTTATGTCCTTACTTTCGACGCTGTGGCGGAAAGATTCCGAGTCATTTCCTCACCAAGTCCCAAAAGTCGGGCCTGTTACTATTACCAGCAATGTCTACCCAATTTTGGGCCTGTGGCGATCATGTTTCGGTTCCGGGGCCTTGACGGATTGAATCAGGGCTCGTTTACGCGATGTAATATCCTGAGGAATAATACTGCAGATGATGATGACGAGGAGGAGGAGGAAGCGGAAGTTATAGATATATGGGATGATGAAGAAGAAATGGTTCTTCCACATCAGGGATCACAGGAAACAGGGTTTCACCACTCACCTGAGGGATCACTTGATGGAATACTTCCAAATGGAAAGGTCCTAATTAGGGCTGGTCATTTTGACCCACGGTCTTGGTCGAACCGATGATCCGAACTGAACCGACCCGAAATCGATTCGAAATTTAGTTTCGCTTCGGTTCGGTTCGGATCAATTATTTGAAAGAGTAGAATGGTTCAGATGGTTCGGGTTAAGTAAATATCTAAATGAAACCGAATTAATTTAAAAATAATAATAATAAATTTAAATAGTTTCCGACGTTGACCGCCACCGACCGCCGTTGACCGCCACCGACCGCCGTCGGTAATAACTTCCGGCCAAAAATTCCGGCGACATCGTCGTTAAATTGATTTTTCCGGCCAAAAATTCCGGCGATATTGTCGGAAAATCGATTTTTCCGGCGACCGGTGCCAGTAAGATAACATCATCATAATATTTTGATGACATCATCGGATACAAAATGGTTCTTTTCGGGTCAATTCGGTTCAGACCCGATATTTAACCCGAACCGATCTGTACCGAATTATAGTAATCCAAAAAAAAGTTGCCCCATTTCTGAACCAATCCATACTAACGTTTCGGTTTGGGTTCGGTTCGGTTCGGGTTCAGTTTTACCCTAGTCCTAATAACTTACTTCCAAGACTTCCCGGTTTCCATTTACTTGTATGATCCGAAAACGAAGGAGACCAAGAGAGTTGAGATCCATGTTGATCCATCCTCAACCTCCACAATACATTGGAGAAAAATTGGAAATTATTGGGCTGATGTAGTGCGAATTGGAAATTATTGGGCTGATGTAGTGCGAAACTATTATGTGGATAATATCATCTCTTTGAGATGCTTGACTCGTAGATCCTAAATGATATATTTGTTAGCTAGTAGACGTTCTATCCCAAAAATATTGTCTAATTTGGAATTTTATTTCAATATAAACTATAAATTGTACTAGAAATGAAAATTCAAATTGGACAATAATTTCGGGACGGAAGGAGTACAATTCTACGAGATTTGACTTTTTTGTTGTTGTGTTTATGGCATCATGGAACTACTTAGAGTAGGTTTGTGAATGCAATCATAAGTATGAAGGTATCTCTTCCTAGAACTCCATCCCATCAAAGAATTTCTCTTCTGATGATAAAAAAAAAGGAAGGAATAATTTGGTTATTTTACTTGGGATGTGAGCAATGTCAGTTTGTATAGAAATCTATGCTACTGTAACATAAGAAATCTGTGAGGAACACTAGGAGACACCATCTATCTTGTATTTCAGCAGGAGAAATTTCAAGAGACTTGTCTTTAACATCTTCAGAAGTGCTTGAAATGATTACAAGCCAGAAGTATGACAAGAGATTCTATACTTCTCATTGTAAAAGGCTGTAGTGGGACGTTCAAATTTAGTCTTATTGCCCTAAGCATATATATATCTGGAGCTCCTGAATTTGACACTGAAGAATTTTCAAATCTAGCTTATATTAGTGAGCAGTAAAAGTATTTGTATACATGATTTTATAAAAGTTTGAAGTGGATAAGATGAGAAAGGTTTAGTTCAACATGGCCAATTTTGCTACAATAATAACAAAAATCTGGTAAACGTTCATAAAAGATTTTGCTGGAACGATCAACATTCATATAAGTGAATTCAACATTCTTCCATAGGTAAATTACACATGTAATTTTTCTTTTTATTTTTTCGTCTTTCAATTTCACAGAAAGGTTAATATTTTACAGAATTTCAATAGTAATAGCAAAATTAAGAATTATTATTGTTTTTAGTATAAAACACCCTTATTTAAAACAAGGGAGTGATCATTTTGTCATTCAATAACCGTGCACACGATTACAAATCAATTTATTTATTTTTTTCTTCATATTGAGATAACCCCTGTCAAAAAATTCTAACTTTCGAAGAAAATTAATTAAATAAATTTTTGTTGATTTTCTTCAAAGCACAAGCATCTTGCCAAGATAACTAGGCATTCTGGTGTAGTCATGGGTGGGCAGTATCTCATACAATCAACGTCCTTTGTGCATTGAGTGTCATCATCTTCTTCAGGGAGCCAAATTTCCTTCTTCAATGCAATAGAAGCTTCGAAACCTGTCTTTGAGCAAAAGTTATTAGATTAAAACTTAGTCATGTAAAAATTATCATACATTTTTCCACCTTAATTTTAATAATATTCTAATTTGTTATTTTAGTTCAACAAAGTGAAGAATTATTCAAACTAGAAGGACGAGGAAGTAGATCACAATATAAAGAGAAAAACATTATCGTGCTTACCGCGTGCAAACAGCAGGAAAGTGACCAAGAACATAATTTTTATTGTCTTCTCCATGTTTATTGGCATTGTTGTGGCTGGTGCTGTTCCTTTTTCTTGGTCTAGAATTTATAGGAGAAATTTGCAGAGAGTCAAAGTAACGCCTTCCGTTTTTTTTTTTTTTTGAAAGGTAAGTAATGCCTTCGTTTATTTGCATGACTTGTAATAGGCGCCTTCGTAATAATACGGTCGTCGGTGGTGGATTAAAATGTATAGTTACTAGAATCATAATACTCTATATGTCTCTAAATACCTTTAAAAAGATTTTTGGGCAGAAAATATTGAGAGATTGACTTACTTTATTTTATTTATTTGATTCAACCTACAACAATGAGATTATTGGGAAGAAAATATTGAGAGATTGACTAAATTAATTTTATTTATTTGATTCAACCTTCAACAATGTATTTCTTTCTCAAATAAAATTAAAATCATGTACGCACTAGTACTAACATGACACAGGCATCGGACCGTTATGTCTCTTTTCTTCAAATTAATTATGGCAAACTATAATATTTGGTCCCAATATTTGAAGAAATACAATAAATTAGTTAAATTGATGTAGAGATAAGTCAGACGGTTGTGGATCTAATTTTGGGAGGAGAGAGATAATTTCCACGGGAGTTATACCACCAAAATAAGGGGGTACTAGTACTTGCTGTATTAAAAATCAGGATACACCAACTGTACCCAATAATTTATTCACAATAAATTACTCAATCGGGGAAATCACAGTTCAACTCCCATTCCAAATGTAAATCATGCAGCTGGTTCATTTCAGGATTCACCCCGAAATTCAAACCCAAGTCAAGATACTGGTTGTAATCGTACTGAAGAACAAGTTCCTCAGTCTAGCCCCTTGGGAAATTTAGACCGTGGTTCTCCAAGTTCGGAGACAAGTTTGGGAAGTAGAATCCAGAATTTTACACGAACTCCTGGGGCTGGAAGTTCGTAAGGTACTGATGCTGAGAATACAATCAGAAAACAGAAATCTGGACCTAGGGAGATTTATACTATTAGAGATGTGTAAGTATTCTCACATTTTGTTCAGGAAGTGGTTATATGAAATGACTTTTTCTAATACATATTTGTTGAATTTGTATTAGGTTAAGTTTACAGAGTGAGTGTGCAAGAAAAATTAGAAACAAGTTCGAGGATCGGTTGGAGGTCGGAGCATACTCTTGATCACTTGTGAGCCAAGAAAGGAAAGATTTCTATTGGAATGAATTCAAGGTAAGTTTATGAACTTTACTTGTGTAAAGTTTTATTTTCTGTTTTATACATTTGTGTGTGCCTGTAGTAGCATGCATGATTATGGTGAATATAAGATCACTGAATCTGAAATCTGAGTAGTTTAATGATTAGAACATGATTGAATATGAAATGTGAGTAATTTAATGATTAGAAACAAACTGAATCTGAAAGCTGAGATTAATTTAATGTCTGTACTAATACTTAGACTGTTTTGTAGAAATCTTTTACATGGGATCCTGAAATAGAAGGCCAGATAAAAGAGGCATGGTCTTCATTAGCAGTAAACCGTTACCGTGACCTCACAAGGGATCTGAGAGAATGGGATGAAAAGCCATGTTTCGTTCAGGAAGATGTGTGGGCTAGTTTTAAACAACGTTGGGAGACTGAGTCTTTTTAGAAAGTAAGAAGAAGGAATTCAAATAATCATAAAAGCAGCAAGAAGGGACCAGTGTATCATATTGGAGGTTCAGTCTCATTTGTGGAGCATGCGGCAAGGCCGGTAAGATTTTCATTCCTAACACTTGTGGGGTTTCTAAGTATTGTTGTTTTAGCTGGAGTTTTCTTAAATATTATAGAACTCATTTTGAGTTTTGGTTCAGAGGTTTGTTTCATCTCTCCCTTTACTGAATTTCTTCATTCCTTTAATGGTGATCAATACAATTGTAAGTTTGACATATGTGTAATTATTGGCAGGAACGTATTCTTGGTTTAGGATTTTCATTTTGAAAATAGATGTTTTTTCATAATTTAACAATGGTTTGAACGTTTGTTGGATTGGATTGTATTGTTCTTTACAACGTTGTTGAATGCCTTTCGAAATATTTGATTTAATGGCTGAATTGACAATTGGCATTTGATTTGTTGGATTGAAGTTGATATAAATGTAAACATTAGGGGCTAATATATAAATAATAATTACAGCAAGAAAAAGAAAATATTACCCACGACACAAGTCGTGGGAAATTTTAGCAAATTCAGTAATTTACCCTCGGAGAGTTGTGGGTATTTCTTTTTTCAAATTCAGTAATTTTTCCACAAATATTTTCGTGGATAAATTTATTATTAAAAAATTAAATTTCATTTCACCCACGACCGCCGTAGATAATATTATAAATTGGAAAAAAAGTTTTTTATTTTTCCCACGGAATCTGTGGGTGATTCTCTTGAATTGTGAGAATAAAGAATCGATTCTCCCATGACCTCTCCAACATTTGTTGTGGGTGGATTACCCACAAAATATTGACTTCCGAGGGAGAGAGAATCCCTACAGGCATATTACCGAAGTCGTTTTATCCGTAGAAAAGTCGTGGATAATTTGATTTGCCCATGGCCACACAGGCATATTACCCACGACATTGGTCTGTGGGTACTGACCTATTTTTTTGTAGTGATATAAGTTTCATGGGTTACTTCTCAAATTGTAAATTGATTTTGAGGTGGAATCCCTATGGACTTCTATATGATATTATTAAAATAC